ATGACGCTAGCCGTTTCCGTAGAGACAAACGGTAGAAAGCCGTTAATTAACGCATGATCACCTTGTATGAGCCCTTTCTTAACATCAATAAATAGGGCAGCAGTGCCGTTTGTAAAAATCAGGTATAAAGTATTATTTTATATTGTTTGGGACGGACTAGCTCAGTTCAGAAAAGAAATCTTTCACTCTAACATGTCCCAATCCGAACAATCAACCGAGTTGGAAACCTATTGAGGCCTGGATCACCACCAACAACTCCTCCAACCGACAAATCCATATACGAAGGGGTGGCCAAAAACGAGGGCTATTCAGTTAAATTGTTTAAGAAAACATCTTAAAAACATTGGTGCTTTGTTAAATTACTGTCAATTATAAAAGGCGCACTTGTCTCAAGGAAGTCCTCGAACTTTGAAATACCGGGGGTTTGAAGCCGTTGAACTTCAGGAAGATTGAAGCCACATGCAATCAAACAGTACTTAAGATTTAAGCTAGCTGCGGCATGAAATGTCTGCGAGAGATAAAAATCGCAATGCTCCCTGACATTGAGCAGGCGATATATATAACAAACGAGTAAAGAGTAGTTATCCTTTAGAACAAGTCAGAGTCAGCAGCTCTCTTATACCGCAGTATATTGTGGAACGTCTAAGTATTTGCTTAACATAGATAAAACTTCCTCCGTCCTGGCCATTGTGTCAGTCATTGTGAACGCATGCATAGCTTAGAATAGAGCTTTCGGTGTCGGCTACTCAGGGTGCTGCTCATGTCCCTTTGACTATAATAATATCTGGGAAGTGGACCACAACCAGAGTCTGGAGCAGGGGCATTTTGTTAAACAGGGGCCTGGAATTTAAAGTGAACAGTTTCGGGGGCATGCCCTTCGTTTCTGAGGAGAGGGCAGCTAGGTTATCAGAATAACTGTCTTCGGCCAAAAGAATTCTCTTTCGACTTGAGCTACTTGTCTGTCCCTTATTTTGGAATGTGCTTCGCCACTGGTCCTTCACATTCCAGTTCTGGTATTAACTGTTTCATTTTCATTCAGTCTTATCCCGTTAAAACAACTTCGGAATGCAGACGCCGTAGAAATGATTTTCTCTGCAGTGGGAGAGTTGGCTGCGCTTCATTTCTCAAAATGATTTTAATGGGTCAGGACCGAAGATTTGAACCGGGTGCTGACGGAGCCTCCGCTATTCTAGACGCCTTGAGGATGTAGATTGCCCCACCGTCCTTTAACAACGTTGGAACATACACTTAATAGGAGTCTGAGTCATGATTAACTCCATCCTTTAGAATTGTTAACGCTGATTCTGGAACTCTTTCGAATACATTTTTCTTCCAAATAACTCTGGCGCCTGTTGTGCTCTCACATCTGTCAATTGACTTGATGCTCATTTCCAGTCCACTTACCCGATATTTCCGGATGAACTGGCTGTTGGCCTGGCTGAAACCAAATCCGTGAACGGTTTGGTCTTATCCGACTGCTTCATCATCGGCTTATCCGTTTGCAAAATAATCATAGATTTTTACCAGCCGCACACAGCCTTCTCCTTCTTATTAACTTTGAGCTACCTTTTCCATTCTACGCTCCCATTTCCATTCCACTGAACTCGTCCGATCAAGCATTGCTGGAAGTTGCTTCCAAAATAATGCAAAACAGTTTCTGCAAAGACGGCAGGTAGTCAAACAAGGAAGCATGTACCCCAGTGTCCCCCACTGAAGTGCTATAATGGTGGGGTTTAGTATGTATTTCGCTGAATACTCGTCCAGTTTGTTCTGCAATGGGCTTTACGGAACATATATAACTTTTGTCACCTGAGTATGCATGGCGGTAAGGCGAAAATGTTCTAATGACTGAGTTATTAAAACTCTTATAGCCTAGGATGTTTATTCAAGCACCATGTCTCAGAAACGCAGATATCTTGACAAAAATGGCGATCTATCACGCTAGCACGTATCTGTTACACCGATCGTTGTTCGTGATTAGCCTACAGAAGGGAATCACTGAGTTCGATTTAATAGGCCGTCGGCTATAAGTGGCATTTGCTGTTTATCTAAAATTCACTTGATTCGGTAGTTCATGGGTCTAAGCTAGTAGATATCTCTATTGGAATCCATTTCTTTGATAGAAAACCGACTAATCAGGGACCTTCGCCCTCTACCTATAGTCTTGTTATTTTTGTGATAAAACGTCTGTCTAATTACTGATTGGTTAGTGGTTGTACCAACGGGAGTCAATTGCGGTCTGCATGGCGGTGCTTGTTTTTCTCTTTTTCCTCTCCTCAAGCAGGCGTTTATAACTCCTCATGCTTTGCCTTATGCGTAAAAATCATGTGTGCAGCAAATCAGTATTCTGGCATGGATGGTCGATCTCTGGAAAACAGTTATACAAACATTTTCGCCCTGGTAAGAAATCCCTATTTAATAGAGCAAATTTGCTCTAACTGTCCACAACTATTTCAATGTTTTGATCAAGGCAATTATTCTTTTTTATTTTTAGACTGACCTCAGTGGTATTCACTACCGAAAATACGTTCTTAAGGAGGAAAAAACGTATGGCATATACGAAGATCCTGTTCTCGCTTCCTATTCAAACTGCCTTAAACAAAACTTGATGTGCGCCTGGGTGCGCACCAAAAAGGAAAAGTCAGAACCCCAAAAACCGTACTTTTTTTCCAATTTTACGCGAGAGCTCTGGGTGTTTTGGTATGGCAGTGGAGACACGTCGTCGTGGGAGAGCTGTATTTCTCCCGATTTAGAGAAGGTTTCTGATGGCAACTGGAAGAAGGGCCTCAGTTACGAAACAAGATGCATACTTTTCAAAGCTCTGCATAACGTTTTGGAAAGGTAAACTTTGTCGAATTATAACTGACTTTTTAGGTGTCTCTTAAGCAAAGGGTTCATCCGCCTGGGTCTGTGGTTCCTCCAGCCATGTAGCAGCCTATACAACCGCGACAAGTATGATTTTTGTATATTTGACGCAACTTTTAAGGGTTCAGTACAGTATCAACTTCTCGTTTTTCCTCCACGGTGAAAGTACCGTCTGCTCGAGCCTTGACATTCGTCAGTTTCCTAAGGTGAAGGTTCTGAATTCTCGAATATTCTCCCTTTGTTTCAAGTCAAAGCAGAGGGTCAGCGGTAAGCAAAGTCAAAATTACTTTAGCTTAATTTTCTGGTGTTGTTTTTTTTACTAAGCCACCTACCCCTGTTGACCATCTTGGCTGTTGTCCTGTTTGTTTTTATTCGTTTTGATATGCTTCCGCAAAAGCTTAGATTTATAATGCCTGTTCATGCGTTTGTATGTGGTAGTAAAATATAACCCATGAAATATGCTGCATTACAGGACAATAGTGACTCCGGGTGACGAGCCTTTACTTTGACTCTGTCTGCAAACTAATAGGTTGATAGTTGATGGGTAACGGAATGGCTTTCATCGTCGGCTTGCCATGAAATAGGCAAACTGTCATGTCTGATGAGTTTGTAGTCAAAAAATAAACAGCGTAACTACCTTCAGGTGCGGTTGAATACCCATATGTCAGGTCGGTTCTTTATAAATAGGAAGGCAGCGCGTTTTATGGTATGCTGAACGCTGCCACTATCGTCTTATGGATTAGGACCACAGTCAGTCCCAGCAGAACTTGGTTTGCGCGTTGTCTCTGCGAGTCTCCGTAAGCACTTACGACTTATGCCGTCTTCCTTTAGGGTCGACCAAACCATAGTTGCTGTTACTCATTATGATATAAGGGAAACAGGATTCCCGGCATGTTGTTGCCTAAATCTTTGGCCTCTGGTAGTTTGAGCACACTTTATTGCTGACGTTAATGTTTTCTCTCTAATTTCAAAATAAGTCTACGATTATTCACTGAGAAATAATTTTGCAAAGTGTAACTGTATTTCATGACTTACTCACTTCACAGACAGATCTTTCTCGAAATCTTGCCGTACTTTGTTACGCTTGATACTAAGTGTTTTATTCGAAACTTTATGTAAATCTCACGCTTCCTATTGAAGATTGTTGCACACTCCAAAAAATCCTGCTTTTTCTACGTGTCTGTTTACCAAAAATTCTTTTCTTTTCTAGTTATTTTGTCACCTTATGGAATTTCTGCCCGCTTGGTTGTACCATCTGTTGGTGCTAAGGAGCCTTCGAGTAGCCAGCTAGACAACTGGATAAAATTTTACCCAATGAGATTCGATGGGTGTGACTTCAATCCACTGAATTACTATCTCGGGTCTACCGGAAACAATGAGTTTTTGACGCCAACCAAATCCTCACCCCAACAGTTCACAAAGAACGAGTCTGGGACCAAGAAATCTCCTAATCCATCGAGCAGCAGTGAAAAGTTGCCCAAATTTGTGGATGTTCTTCTCGGTTAGTAATATCTTTGGCTAATTATTGAATCCCAGTTCGTTTCAGTTAACACTGATCTTGCAATATTCTAACCAACCCCCAGGTTTCTGGCTAACC